CACAATCATTTCCATGGATTTTGTTAAGAAACTCATCGATGAATTGCTCCTGACACCTAACTGATTTGAAAATCTTTGTTACCCTTGACGTTAATTTGTCCTATATTGAATCGGTTTCTGTCTTGAAGAAGGAACGTCGTTATTTTCATGCAATATTTTCCCTTCACAAAACCCGGAATACAGTGCGATGTACTTATATATTTTGTGATATATGCATCAAGAATATGTGATACATTATTTTGAAAATTTTATTCTCAACACGACTCCAGCCTAAAACTTTGGTGAAGTCACAAATCAGGTACCCAGAATTAGTTTTAAATATTAATATATTTTTTGTTATGGCTTAGAAGAGGTGCTCACCCAATCTGCGTCGTCGTATTGTGCATGGATAACGCAGTTATCGCTTGCACTATCAGTTGTATCCTGATAAGGCCAAAACTTTTTAATATTGTCCAAGTTTAGTGCCCTCATATACGAATACCTACCCTAAAGGTTTTTCAAAATGAAGTATCAGTGATGTAATAAGTTTTATGGATATTTGCCGTAAGAACTTATCTCAGCTCAAAGTTAATCCGCATGATCATTAGCAAACGGTGTCACCGTGACAAAGAATCACGTAGCGTCGGCCAAATCGAGAGCATAGATCGTCGGCTCTCTGAAACATTTAGAATGAAAGAGCCACTAGAAAGTCATCAAATCCGTCAGCTCCATCTCAGCTGCAAGACACCGAGAAGATCGATGGCTAGTTTACGAGAAGCAATGCCTACCAGACAATAGCAACGTAAAGCGATGGCATGCGAACAGAAAAATGTAACTTACCTGTGCCCCACTAAATGCCATCAAGCTACATTTCTGAATCATACAGCGTTACAAATCCATCACTGCCTAAGAGGAAGCAAAGGCAGAGAAATACTTGCTTGAAAGCGGATCGACGGCGGGGATCCGTTTTTCTCGAACAATCATAGGATCAAGATCGGTATCTCGCTCCACTGTTTTTGAAAACACAAATATGAAAACATTACTTCCATTGTGTGCGAATAAGCATGGCCTATATTGCAGATCCTTGTCCAGGGCTTCTTATAACCGATATATCTAAAAGTTTCATGAATAAGGGTCTGATAGAGGATGACTTGTGGGATGAATCTCGATTTGTCCATTATGAACTGGTCTGCTCAATCGGAAGACCGTCAAGCTCAAAACCGAGAGATCCTGCGTTCGAGTTCTGGGCAGGGTCTCTCGATTTCCTTTTCAAGTTGATAACTGAGTACCACTTAATGGGAAGGAAATGTAAAACTGCAGACTATCCTTGTCACAAACCTGCTGTCGACTCAGCCCCTCAAAAAATAAAACACCCCTGGTTGATAGCATGGAAATTTAGATCAGTGCTCAACCAATAAGCTCATGAAACGACGAGCGCCAGAAATGACCCCATCATAAATGTGTAAAGAAGACCGACTTTCCAACGGTTACCATCTTTCTTTTTTTCCTTGTCCATCATAATCCTTAGTCAATCAGAAGCCGTTATGCCCAATCTGGCACTTACTCCAAATTCATAAGGGTGATCCAAGCGCTTCAGTATCTGCACTCTGCTTCTTGATGGCATAACGGGAGTCTCAGCCTCTTCAACTTCCACGGGGTGCTTATTAGAACAGTCGGAGTGCTTTGTCGGTGAGCGTGAATCGTCGACGGGATCGCGGTCCACTGTCTAAAATATCAACGGTAGCGGTTGTGTTTCAACAGAAATTAGGCCTGCTGTCACCTTTACGTACTGTTCACAAATGCCTCCGTGTAGCGGAGGGCAGTCGCCCACTGGCAGTACGGGCAAATCCTCGAAAAACCAACGATCAGTGCTTGAACGATTCTCAACATTGCAATCAGTTAATAACTCAGGAGGTAAAATATCCCACAGAAGAGGGTCCACAGAACCTAAAATAAAAATGCTGTTAGCAATCCTATAAAGGCCTGTAAATGAAAGGTCTCATTTGAATTTGCATATCTATGCTGACCACAGAATGAAACGAAACAAATTAACTAATGAAACAACAGTTTCTTTTCCTGCCCGAATAACGGGCACCGCCACCTGGTTTCTAGCCGCGTAGGGAACCACTTAAGAAGGCAACGGCTCTACGATATTTGAGCGCTTGCATTGCATGGATGCAAAACCGCATCACTAGTCATGGAGCCGTGGCCTGCTTCATTAGCCCGCTAAGCCGCTAGAAGCTAAGTGGCGGTGCCAGTACGCCCTGTAAATCCGGTAACAAAAGAAAAATGTTACTTTTTAACGGTGGTATCGAAAACTAGCAGAATATTAGTAAATCGACAAGATCGGTCTTTAGTTTTATGATTGACTAATGAAAGCGGTATGCTCGCTCCAAATGATTAAATTGTATCGAATTAGAAACTGAACCGACCAAGATAATCCTCCTCTATTCATGACGAAACTAATATGCTAGTAAGCAGTTTCGTGACGGTTATCGGACCGACTGTGTAGGTCTGCTCCATCCACTATGTGATGCAACAAATGCTAGTCTCGGTCAATTTGTAAATACCACGGACCACCCGGTTCTTCTTGCTGACTTCTTCGACAATAAAGCAATGTCGTGTCGAAACAACATCCTTCTCGGTTGCACATCTCCTGCACCGTAACACTTATCGCCTTGGTTGCTCCTGACTATTCTATCCATGTACAACACAAACAGGATAGGGGACAGGACGCAGCCTTGGCGGAGACCT